TTCTGTATTCTTTTTACCCAGAAGCATTCCACAAGTCTGCTTTTCCCATCTTCCATAACTTTAACAATAGTATATGTATTATTGACATAAAATGTAATATCTCCTGGCTCATTCCCCAACTACCTTTAGCTAGATCAACGCTCTACTCATGGGATTTATACATGTCCTAGCTCATTTCAGAGTTGAGCCACTTTGAAGGTCTGGAAACATTTTTCTAAATGGCTTCTTAACCAACCAGCCAGCCCAAACTGTGTGCCTTACCTAGGAACTCCGCTGGAAGAAGGAATTAATTATGCATAACAGAATAACACAATACCATATCAGGTCTTCTCTCTCATTAGATGAGTAAGAAGAGGTGATTTTGCAGGTTCCAGACTGTTACAGTGCAGGGTAGACTGAGTGAGAAAGTGAATGGCAATGTTAGGAGATGCAAACAAAAGGACCTGGGATGAAATTACAGAAAGTTAATGGAGGCAGAAGGATCGGGTTGTCTATGGGAATCAGAATAGCCATGGAAAAGGGAAAATATCAGGTGACTAGACTGGCTCTTTTAGTAGCCAGAAATAATATTGCATCACATGTAGGAAGACCCTGAACTTGCAAGCCCAGCTGTGATTTGTAAGGGAGAGAGAGCTTTACTTAAAAGGAAGAGTCCAGGTAGGTCAGTAAATGTCAGCATGTTTGTGGCATTAGTGATATGTAAGATCTGATCCTTGAACATGCAAATATTTGATGTCATATATTTCTTGGTAACATTTTCAGGTTTACTTTTAGTGTTACCACCACATATCTGTGGAGTACAATTTTAATATAGATAGTTCTGTCAAAACTCTCCCTTTCAAAAGAATAGTTTGTTGTTATCCAAAGTGATAGGTCTCAGTGCAGTAGAGAAAATAGTAAGGGGTATGGATTCAGACCACATAAAATGAAATAAGCAATGTCTTTTCACTTTTGCAAATGATATATTACAAACAGGAAAGTGCTAGACATAACATTTTAAAACTATTTAATACAGAGCAAAATTTTTATTATTAAATAAGATATATATAATATGGGGATACATATATCAGACATATTTTATTGGTTCTGTGCATCCAGCAGAGTCAGTTTTCCAGTACATGATGTCTTAAAAGTATGTCAGATAATAAATAGCTGTAAGATTTTTGAATAACAGGTATTTCCTCAAACTGGGAGTCCGAATACTTTACTTGTCTTTCAAAAATGAATACCCTACATTTTCCTGATAATTTTCTCCATTCATTTTAATTCCTTGAACAGTGAGTGCAAATGAAGGGTGCTGGACTTGCCATGTGGAGTGCGTTGTTCTTTAAGAATTGCATGATAACTAAAAGCACACAGAAGGCAGTCCATTAGGTGACATGAACAGTTTGCCTCAAACTTGACATGGTTGGGATCACTTCCTTACTCATCCCACACTGTGCAGGCAGTTACTGCTGATGTTAAGGTTTGACATGTTGATGGACAACAACTGCAATTATTAGCCTATATCATGTTAAATTCCAGATCACCCCCACCCACCCTGTGGTCATGGCAGTAGGATGCTGAGCATTTCTCCTGCTTTTTTGCTACTTAGTTTTATCTATTCCATGCGGGGTCAAAATGCAGGGTCAAATCTTGCCCATTTTGTTTTATTTACATTTAAGTTAGTGGGATTGTTTGCATGACTAATGACACATGGAAGCAATCCCTGATAAAAAATAAACTATATCATTAAACTGACTTTGTTTTCAGAGAAAATCTGCCTGCTTAGAGCAAAGCCACTTAAATATCCTTTAGTGTAGGAAACATAATAAACATCAGGAAGGTCTGAGTTCAAAAGGAAATAGCTGGAATCAGGATGTTTTAAGACAATCATAAATTTCTGCATATAAAACACCTGCAGTGTGAACAACATCATTTGAGCTGCCTCTTTAATGAACACAAAGGGACATGGAGGCTGGATTGTGTAGTAATTTTGTAATGTGAGTGCAAATTTTTTTGGTATCTACTGGTAACCTAAAGCTGAAGATTTTACATTGTGTTTTTTATGCAGTGATGCTGGTTTGTGCTTAATGCTATCACTCACAGAGTAGGACTTGGCCTGAATCAGAAGGCTGAGAGTGCAGAGCTTGAAGTTTCCCTCAGCCAGTAGGAAGTTTTAGGCATGGACATGAGTTTTAAGGTATTCTCCTTGCATCCTATCACCAGATATCTGAGAGAGGTAACAGCACTTTCCCCTCCACTCCCAACCATGAGGAAGTGTTAGATAGCAATGAGGTCTCCTCTGAACAAACCAAGTATCTTAAGCCACTCCTGATCACTGTAGTCTTTTCACCATTTTTGTTGTACTCCTCTAGATGCATTCCAGTAAGTTCATATGGTTGGCCCTTTTTTGCACCAGGGCACATGTTTGAGTCATATTGAGCTTACCATCAACCAAAAATGCCATTTCCCTTCCCACAGGGCTGCCTCCAGCGTCTTGCTCCCAGTCTATACATAAAAGAATATTAGAATGATAGCATCACAGAACAATTCAGGTTGGAAAAGACCACTGAGACTACCAAGTTCAACCTTTAACCTAGCACCACTGTGATTTCTTCTAAACCATATCCCCAGGTGGCACACTAACATGCTTTTTGAATACTTTCAGGGATAATAATTTTACCACTTCCATAGGCAGCTTGTTTCAATGACAGACCATCCTTTCAGTGAAGAATATTAAGTTAGTAAGATATGACTTTCCTGTCATGAACCCATGCTGGCTTTGACTGTAGGAGCTTACACCGTCAGGTAGGCACTGAGCAGGGATTTTGAGTTTTTTCCATGCAAAACACTTGGATAAGTGCTCAAAGTGACATGCCTGAGAAGTTTGTGCACAGAAATCCATAAAATTAGACTTTTTAAGCTGAAGCTTTCCTTAACTTCATGACCATTCTTCTCATCCATTTAAGACTCTGTATCTGATTCTCTGGTTAATCACTGCAAACAATTTTACAAGTGTAAATAAACTTGGCCACAAAATGCTGCAGTCTAGCATGTAGATATCACAGGAGACCAACACCTTTGCAGTGAAATATAGTTCATGCTGACTGTGCTGTAACGACTGGACTGTGCTTCTACATACAGCAATTTTGTAAATGGATTTAAATTACAGAACTAAGTTTTACTGCTACTTGTTAAGTGCTGTTGACAAAGAGTAGAAAAATCTGCCTCTGAAGAAACTTCTGGGCTTTAAAAGAGGGTTCTCTTAGAAACACTTAATTTGGAGATTGTTTCTAATTATATTATATATTATTATATTATTATTATATATTATTATATTATATTATATATTGTTTTCTGATTTTTACTTGCCTGCCCTTACGTTTCACTATTATGACATTGACATGAATGCCAGATCTTATTTTTTTAAGCAATCATCTGCTTTTGCTATCTCTTCTCCCTGTGAAATCATAATCCTTTGTATTGTCACAACACAATCATTTCCGTGGCACCCAGCTGTGATGTCACATGTAGGTGCTTACGATTTCAAGAGCTGTTTTGCTTTTAAATATAAAGTTCATCTCTTGTCCACCTAAATGCTGCAATCAGCTTGGGACAAAAAAATGGGAACAATGCTATATCTAGCCAGAATACTTGTCAAAGGCTTCTGTGAGATAGTGGCAACTTAGTAATATTTTTTTAACATAGTTTGTTGAAGAGCATTTTGGTTCTAATTCTGGACTGTAATTACCTTCTGTGCCAAAAACCATGAAAATACCTTATTTCAGAAGTTGATTAACAACATGAAAGTTTTGTATCTTCATAAAGTCTCAGGAGAGCCTCAGAGTTGTATTTTCTGCCTTGCTATCTCTCCTGTAATAAGGACAACTAATACATTTCCTTTAAGCTTGTGGAGCTTTTAATCCCATGGCACTTAGGCTCTCTCTGGAAAAAGAGGTGGGAGAGATGTTCCTACAGTTCCTTGTCAGACTGTGGCTGGTCTTTGTAAACAGTAAGAACAAAATCAGAAATGGAAAAAAAAAAACAAACAAATTACAGACTTTTTGTTTGTGTTTCATTAGTGCTGCTGGCTTGGTGCCCATATCAGGAAAAAAAAAACAAACAAAACTTTCTTTGGAAATTCAGGGTATTCATTAATGCTGCATAGGGACTTCAGACGGAGCATGTGCACTCTGCCTAAAGTGCTTCCCCAGACAGCAGGTGCTTGGATGGCCAAGTAGGATTTGACAGGGACCTCTGACCACAGGAAGAGATACTAGGTCAGGTCTTTTAGAACAGAAAGCATAGGCTTCAGCACAGAGGTCAACCTATTCATGAGTTCAGAAAAGAGAGAGCTTTTAAAATTAAAATAGCAAGGACAGTCATCCAGCAGGCTCAATAAATTTCAACACTGTGCTCCATCATAGTTACTCAAGCATCCTTCTGAAGCTCAGGCATGTGACACTGACTTATAAACACATGACAAAGATAACAGAACGAGGAGTAGAGAAAGAAGCTTTAATGTGGGATAGCTTCTCTGGTATTCACTGAGATTCTGTCTCCTCTCCTTTGAAAGGCTTTTGAATGTGAATGGCTTACCATCATAAAAAAAATATATGGTATAAGCCTAGGAGAGATCAGAAAGAGGAAGATGAGGAATGAGCAGTATGTCAGAGGAGGAGAGCTAATAGATCTGGTGAAGTCAGTTTGAATTGCCCAGGGCCAGGATTTCAAAACAATTGTACTTGTCCTGCAAGTAAATTCTCTTCCCCTTCCTGAACTTTGTAGTCTTCAGCTCCAGATCTGAAAGCTGAAGGCTGCACACGGATGATGTAGCTGGCAGGTAGAGTATGTCTCCAAATTTGAGCAAGCTGATAAACAAAATCACCCTGCAAAACACAAAGCAACTTCCCAGGGGCATGCCTTTGAATAAAATAGTTAATTAAAGTAGCCTCCCCCACCAGCCCGCTCCTCCTTTGTCCTTGGTTTGTTTAACCTGTCTGTGCTGTCTATTGCAGGAGTGATTCGCGAGAGTTACCTGAAAGGTCATGATCAGCTGGTGCCAGTCACCCTGTTGGCCATTGCCGTTATTCTTGCTTTTGTCATGGGGGCCGTCTTTTCGGGAATCATAGTGTACTGCATCTGCGACCACCGCCGCAGAGACCTGGCTGCTGTGCAGAGGAAGGAGAAGGAGCTCACCCACTCCCGCCGCGGCTCCATGAGCAGCGTTTCCAAGCTCAGTGGCCTCTTTGGGGATGCTCAGTCCAAGGAGCCGAAGCCTGAAGCTATTCTCACGCCTCTGATGCACAATGGCAAGCTGGCTACCCCAGGCAGCACTGCCAAGATGCTAATCAAAGCTGACCAGCACCATCTGGACCTGGCTGCCCTGCCAACCCCTGAGTCCACCCCAACCCTGCAACAGAAGAGAAAGCCCAGCCGAGGCAGTAGGGAATGGGAGAGAAACCAGAACCTCATCAATGCCTGCACAAAAGATATCCCCTCCATGGCCTCACCAGTGATCCCAACTGACCTGCCGCTCAGGGCTTCTCCCAGCCACATCCCCAGTGTTGTGGTCCTGCCCATAGCCCAGCAAGGCTATCAGCATGAATATGTTGACCAGCCAAAAATGAGCGACGGGGCTCAGATGTCTGTGGAGGACCAGAATGCCACCCTTGAGTACAAAACTATCAAGGACCACCTCAGTAGCAAGAGCCCCAGCCACGGAGTTAACCTGGTGGAAAATCTCGACGGCATGCCGCCAAAAGTGCCGCAGAGGGAGGCGTCCCTGGGGCCCGCGGGCGCCTCGCTGTCACAAGGCGGGCTGAGCAAGCGGCTGGAGATGCACTCCTCTGCTTACAACGTGGACTACAAGAGAAGCTACCCCACAAACTCACTCACGAGAAGTCACCAGGCATCAACCCTCAAAAGAAACAACACCAACTCCTCCAACTCGTCCCACCTGTCCCGCAACCAGAGCTTCGGCCGGGGTGACAACCCTCCGCCGGCCCCGCAGCGAGTGGACTCCATACAGGTCCACGCTGCTCAGGCACAGGCTGTGACTGTATCCCGGCAGCCGAGTCTCACTGCCTACAACTCGCTCACCAGGTCAGGCTTGAAACGCACGCCCTCCATAAAGCCAGATGTACCTCCCAAACCTTCCTTCGCTCCGCTTTCCACGTCCATGAAGCCCAACGATGCATGTACATAATCGGAGGGGCAGGGGGAGCAGAAGAGGATGGCAATTAAGCAGAAGTTGCCCTTGAAAGCCAGTGTTCTGCAGCTGTTATCACTCGCTCCTCTGAGAAGATGGTTGTTGCAAGCTGAAGATGTGTTGGATTTCTGCTCTCTGGGAAAAGTGGAATATTTTTTTAAACCCGAGCCATATGACCCATGGTTGAAGGTTTGCAATTGCAGGATTCACCCCCACAACCTGCCAGTTCTTTGCTCAAAAGACTAACCCTCCATCAAAAACATTGAGCCAAAAGCACACAGGTGGAAATGACTGTGATATTTCACCCCCTGCCCCTAACTGCACAGTGCATTCCTGAACTGGGAAAGAGTGCTCTGAAAAGCAAAACAAATGTAAAAACACACAAATATTAAAAAAAAAAAAAGAAAAAAAATCTTAAAAAAGAGGAAGAAAAAAAAAAATCAATTGACAAAGCTAACTCTGACTTAACAATGGCAGAAGTTTACCACTAGCAGGTACTGTGAAATCATGCCCTTCAGTGTTACAGCCATTTGGTCATAGCAGTTAAATGCCGGCTTGGGCAGACTATGTCATAGATTTCTGCTACTCTTCTCTTTTAATGAATAACATGTGACTGTTAACACGAGTAACTCCTCTTATTTATTGTTCAACTTTTGTTTTTCCTAAGGAACTGACCTTCATTATCATCCCGTGAGCAGCTTTTCAGAGAAGTACCTTGAAAGTTATACCTATTTAACGTGAAACCCATTAACTGGAGTAATTAGAACTCTTTTATTTTTCCAAGAAATTCACTGAGTTAGATAAGTTGGAGCTGGATTTCTGAACTTTGTGCCTGGACTGCCTGGTTAGCTGAAAAAAAAAGGGGATATCTATTTAAGTCTCTCAGCTAATTAGCTGGCTGGGCCTCTGACCTAAGACAGCAACAAATACCACAAGTTCATAACTTCTAAAGCAGCTGCAAGAGAAACTTAAAAGCTGCACATCTGTGCACCATTGCTATCAACATGGCTTTGTCAGTAGCTAATACTTTCTGTGAAGGCACCAGCTTGTGATGTGCCATCTCATTTCACCTTGCATGTGAGACGGCAAACAAAATCCTCAAACAGTGTGAACTAGCTAATATGCCGGCTGTTACCATGCATAAATTATGGTCTTATCACACGGGTTTTTCGTGGGAATATATCTGTGAATAGCCTGTTTTCTTCCACATGTAAATTTGTGCCTTACACCCTCAGTTGTGTATATTTGTGAGCTGTAGTATGTAAAAACCTTTTTCTTTTTCCCCTTTGAGTAATGCAAATATTTATTGATCCTTCCTCCTCCAAGCCCCTTCAAAAACTGGAGTAAAGACATTTGAAAGAAGACTGTGGTGGTTATTTTCATAACCCCGCATCCCTAAAGAAATTAGGCTAGCACCATACCCTCCAAATTTGACTTTCTAGCTGTGCCAAGTCCTCTCTCAAAACCACCCGCAGGTGGTGATGCTCCCAAGGCACCATGCTGGGGGTTCTGCCTTCCCCCACCTCCCGCTCTCCCTTTACAGCATGTCAACGTGGAGATCGTTCTCAGTGGCAGCAGGAAAATGACTAACACCCTTGTCCATGGAGCTGGTACATCCCCTGGCTGGGGACAGCACTGGTGAGAGGGGCCAAGCCCTGCAGAAAGCCCGGCCGCACATCCTGCAGCATGCAGGGCACATGGAGCTAGGACAGGCAGGCAGGCTCCTGCTGTAGCTACCTGCTGCTCCAGAAGGATGCTGCATATACTTCTTTGGGGAAAAACGTGGGTTTTGTTTTTTTTTCCTTTGTTTCTTTTGTGTGACTGTGCATGTAGCTAGTGTGGGAGTGTGCGCGCGCAGGTGTGTGCGTGTGTGTGCGCGCGCAGGTGTGTAAGTTCCTTTCCAGTCTTTCAGTTTATGCAAAAACGTAGCTGTGTTTTTAATCTGTTACAATAACTGTGTCAACATACTGTAGAAAAATGATGGGGATCGCTTCTAAGCTTTTTATATATATATATATATATATATCTACTGAACAGTATGTTTGAGTAAGGTGGTTGTTTCTGTTTCAATTTGTTTTTTAAAATTTTATACTTCCATTTGTTTTTCAGGGTTTTGGTTTTGTTTCCGATTTGAATGATTGAAAAGACAGATTTTAAGTCCACTAGCTTATAGATGGTATATATAAGGTCTGGATGGTCTACACCAAAGTGTGTAACAAGGGTGTTTGCATGTTCTTTCATTTCATCACGGCTTCTTTTATGAAACAACTTTGTTCACCCCTAGTGAACTATGCAGACTGGAGTAGATAGATCTGTATCCAAAGCAATGTTGTTGTTTTAATAAAAACAAACTGAAAACCCTTTGAAAACAGTAGGTAGCGAGGTTAATTTTTTTTTAAAAGAACGAACTCAACACCTTTTTACCAAGCTCCAACCCCTGAAGCAGGGTTCCCTTGATATTATCCCTCAAAACGTTCTCCCAAAACATAGAGATGGATAATCATGGCAACAGCTTGTGCAGCAATCTGCCTTCACAACATACACCGCAGTTACTGGGTTGACCTTGAAATGTTCATTTTGTATTCGGTGGGTCTTCTGTTTTCATCCTTTCCCAGCCCCAGCTCCCTTCCACCCTCTGTTTCGAGGGGTTCATGAACCTATGTGTGCCTTTGCTTTCCACCCTTGCTATACACTGGTAGATGCAACAAATTCAGGCTCCCATTTGTTGTAAAGTTGTAAAGTATTGTGTTGTCACCAGTTTCCCTTCATTTCCACATCCCCCTAACATACGATTCACAACTTAATGTCGGTTGTAAAAGAAAAAAAAAGGCAGGAAAGGAAAAGAAAAAGGAGGAGAGATGGGAAATAAAAGCTCTTGATTACATATGGTAATAAAACCAGACTGTTCTACCTTGTTTCTTGTTTCCTGGTTCTCTTGTTTCTAGACGATTTATCCTTTTCCTTTAAAAATACAAATAAATGCAATGCTGATTATTTAGATTAGGTTACAGTGAGGAAGAAATGTGTTAGCTTTTGCCTCTTATTGAAGATGGACTTTAGTGTAAGGTGCTGGTAATTAATTAAAAATTAAATCATACATTTGCTCTCCCTCTATTCATACTTTGCTTTTATAAGCTTGTTCATCATCAAATATTTATGACAGAATTAATAGTTTAGAAGAGCAAGGCTGGGATTTAAGAATATGAGGTCCACCAAAATAGATCATCATACAGATGTGACTTTATCTCCAGATTTTACATATTAATTACAGAATGCCCTGTATTTTCTTTCAGCAGGCATAAATCTGTTGTGCTTCACAGGCCTGATTTAGAGGATGTTGTCTGACACTTATTCTGCAAGAAAATAGTAGTGAACAGATAATAACAAAAGAGTGTGAAAGTAATGACTTCCCAGTCCTGAGAGTCATTAAAATAAATATACCTGAGTTTTACACCTTGATTTTGTGTAAATGGGATCACTTATGCACAGCCATTAACTATGGTACAAATAAACACTGGTAATGTCCATTACTAGGCTTAGTGAACTTGTTTTGTGAGAGGACTAGGCACTGAAATGTGACCCCATAAATAAAAGGGATCTCATCCAGTAATTCACCCTTGCACAGATCATGTTTGGGCTTTTCTGCCCTGTCAATAAACTCTGTTCAGCACCTATTGGCTTCGTGGTATGTGGCATGTATGTGACACACAAATGCAGAGCACTGCACATCAATTTTCAGTGCCTTGCCCACATACTTGCTGGTTTTCTCTCAGTGCGGGGTCCCTTCAGGCTGGGCCCACTGGCATGCAGATACGTGGTGTGCACACAGGGAGGGTGTCTGCTAGGACTGGGACATGCCCCAGGCAATGCTGAGGGACTCCCCAGCCTGGGGACTGAGGGCACTGCACAGTCACTGTGCTCCACTCTGCTGCATTTGACCTGCACGCTCCCAGAGCTGCAGCAAATGGGAAAGCAAAAGCCCTTCAGGTGCTTAGGGACCTGTGTTGTTTTCAGTCCTGCAGCCAGTCCTCTGTGAAATTCCTTTGTCTATAGTTGTTTGAAATGCTCTGTATAAGCAGCACCTACAGAGCTATTCAAAGATTCATATGCCTCTATTTTAAAATAAGTACAAATATTCCTCCACAAGCAATGACAGTCGTGGAGAGAAGGGCCTAATAATGCCCAGAAGTGGTGCTAGATGTCTCATTTTGCACAGCTCCTTCATCTCTTGCCAGTGAAAATCCATTAACATAGGCATGAAGGAGGAAGGGCAAGAAAGTGCCCTGATGCATGAGCTATCTGGGATCTGTGACTGTTCATGCATCCAAAACCTGCTGCCAAAGGGAAGGTTTGTACTTAGCCCCTTAAAGCACTATTCCCTTGCAACACTTCCCCAAAGGTGCACTTCAGGATGGCATGTAGAGATCCTGTGGCAGAGCCCTGCCTTACCTTCTGCTGGGCAGGAAGGATCAGGACAGGAGCAGAAGGAAGCACATTGCCCCTGTGGGGTCTTGGCCAGCCTAGCAGAGGGCAGGCACCCACAGCACTCCCTGCCAAGGAATGGTGTCTCCCCTGAGAGCACACAGCTCCCCAGCCGGGAGAGGCAGTGACACCGTGGTGGCTTTTGACAGGGGAGGAGACCACTGAGCTACTCACTGTCTATTTCAATCATGGGATCTGTCCCCTACAGGGGCTGCTGGTGCCACACTGTAGAAGCTCCCTGGGGCTGAGCATGACAAACAAGAAAGCCAAGAGGAAGCAAGGACGCTTTGAGCACTTCACTCAAGTTTGTGTCATCTTATTCATCATATTAATGGCACTCACGTTGACCTCATTTAGCGTGTCATCGAGGATGCATGGAAGTTCCCTTCCAGTCAGCATTAATTTGCATACATATTTTTACACAAAATGGAACCCAGCTGAATGACTCAAAACAATAGGTCCCTGAAAATAAATCCTGGTCCCCTGCCCAGTTCTTCCCCTCTCCCTCCAAGACATACATTTCAAACTGCACAAGAATGTTGTTTCAAAGATAGCTGCAAGTCCTGTCCTACTGTAGCTTCTACATCAGGGAATATTTTGCACCTGAAAGCTCCCCTTGTGAAAAAAGATGAGGCAATCTGGTCAAGTACGTGCAGTTCAGTGCACTTTGCTGCCAGCAGGATGGCCATACACACGGCTGGTTTGCATGGAAAGGATTGCCAGAATAAAGTGCCATAACAGTAATGCACCAGCACCAACAGCAACACATGGTCCAGATGATGGCCAGACTAATTTCAGGGATGCAATTCAGATAATTCTGCCACAGAATTAGCGGGATGTTCTCTTGCTGGATTAGGCACGGATTTTTGCTCCCTAAAGCTTGTTTATTAAGCTTGTTTATAAAGCCTGTTTAAAGCAATGTGGAGGACCTCAAGTGGTAGTCTTATCCACCCCACTGTACTGAGGCAGGATCAAGCAAATCTAACGCATTCTTGATGACTGATTGTCTTACCCTTTCCTTGTAAATGTATTTTACTCTGAGCAGTGGAAGTCACCCAAGGGATCAACACCAAGCATTTCAGAGTGTCTAAAGAAAATAATAAGCTAAGAAAGTGAGTTGGACTGGCTTAGTTAAGGCCAGTTTTCTATTTATCCAATTAAAGTTAATTTCCCAGAAGTATGACACCTGCTCCAATGAACAAGTGTTAAAGAGACACATTGTGTGTGTAATATTCATATGCTTCCTGCTGATGCATGTGTCTGCTAATGAGTCTCTAAGTAGCCTTTTTATTACTTTTTCCCTTTTAAAAAGTGGAGATACTTTTCAGAATAAGTACTAAGTCCATCTTCACATGCCTTGTGCAGAACAATGATGTGTTAGACATCTTTGTATGAATAGAAACAGGTAAATAGTCATATGTCCCCTGACTGTAATTTAAACAGTGTAAGTCAGTAGGGAAAGGCTATAATTGGAGTCAGAGTAAGTGAGGTGAAAATTGCTAGGTGGCAGTACCATCTGCATCTTCTTTTAATTAGCCAAGTTTATTGTCAGAATATAAAACTTTCTGCTATTCAACTGCCTGGCTTATTTCAGCCATCAGTCCAAAGTGATTGCCACATGTCTGGGTAAGCACAATTACTGATCAGCAAAGGAGAATTATCCTCCCCACTGATCTGGCTAACAGTAACCGTGTCCAGGAGTAGGGACAAAAATATGACTAACCAAGATCATTGTCACATCTGCTTAGTGTTTCATGACAAACTCTATTAAGGCTAACAGAACCACTCTTAATTCAATTAGATCAGTGTTTTCCTTTACTGGCCATGATGCATTTGGAAGACTAGCAACTGTGTGCAGAGCGTGGCAGGCAGTCCACTGCAAGGAATAATAGCATCATAAATAATATATTAAGACGAAGACAAATCTAGCATGCTGCAGTCAGAGCACATCAGCCTTACAGATGAATCCTGCAATATCACAAAGAGGTGGGGGAGGAAAAAAAGCAGCTATGACAGGAAATTATTGCAACTATAAATGACAGGGACTACAGGAGGGAACAAAACTCATTAGGTCAGCTCTTTAAGCAAAGTGCTGGGGAAGCACAGGACAGCCTGCTGGCAGCCATGGAGGTCCTGTGAGCCCTCACATTTATCCTCCTTAAAATGAAATAGCAGATGTCGAGTGCTGGATTTAAAGGAAGATGATAAATAACAGAAGATAACTGGCAAAGACCTCGGTGGAAACCTGCCTCTCTCTGGCCTGCAAGCCCTGCCCTAGCACTCAGGGATGGCTGCAGCCTGCAGGGCAAGCGGCTGCCCATCCTACAGCACCAGCCCAGACACTGCCCTGCTTTGGGGAGACACCTTGCCCAGCCTGCAGCAGGGACAGGCTCAGGGAGCTCGGGAGGGCAGGGGACTCCTTCGTCCAGACCCTGCTGGGGCTGGGCTAGCAGGTGGCTCACATCAGCCCATGGGCACGGACACACAGCCGCCCTCACCAGCAAGCAGGAGCCAGGGCTGTGCAAACCCTCTACGCTGGGCAAAGGAAAAAGAAACCAAAAAAGGTGCTGATAAGAGCTTCCTAAAGCAATTTCTGCCTTTTTCAGGGGTTTTCTTCATGTGTTTTTGTGTTTTGTTCTTTTTTTTTCAATATCTATACAGCCTTGCTGCTAGAGAAAGACACCCCATGTCAGAAAAAAAAAAAAAAGAAAAAAAGACAACTAGAATATTTTGTTTCTCTGACTTCTGGAAATTTTTACATAATCTTATCAATTCCCAACAAATACAATCTAAAGCATTCAGACCACTGATAGAAATATTGCCTCTGATGGTGCAGCAAATTGCAGACTGAGCTTTTATTAAATGCTGAATAAATTTTCTGTGAAGCAACCTTTTACGAGATATGGTAGTTCAGACAATTTTACAAAGAGCAGGAGACAAAGAGTTCCTTTTACACTAAAATGGTTTCCTAGGAAACACTGCAAAATGTAACATGATATCTCTTTGTGGAAGTTCAAGGACTTATGTGCGCTAGTGTGTGTTTCTCCTGACCCTCTTTTTTTTTTCCCTCCTTTTCTTGCTGTGGTGTGTGGTATTGCTGGCCAATTTTACCTTTTGATGGTAGCACAAGAACAGAATAGGCCTGTACCACAGCAACCCACAATCTGAAGGACATTTTCCTCTTTGATAATCAAATCTCTTCTCTAAACAGAAAAGAAAAATGTTGATAGAAACCAAGTCTTTTCATCTGTAGCACTGTGGTTTCACAATAAGGAAAAAACAAAGACTGAAAATGCCCAGAGCCAGATTTCTGGTTTCACACAGTCCTCATGACTGACCCAGTGTATTTTCTCGTCTGTGTGGAGCCTACAGTACACAACATAAACTTATGGGATTAAAGCAGATATCAACAGCCTGCAAAGCTTTCCAAAGC